ACAGACCTTTTTCATGTTGACGCTGGGTACTATTTTGAACAGATTCCTCGTTGCTGCACCCAAGGTCAGCGTAATATAGCCGTCTTCGCCGACACGTTGATACCAATGTTCAAATGATCGAACAGCGCAATATACACAAAGGAACTCCACCATAAATGACTAGCCACGTGACATACATAACCACCACCTGCAACTTGACTTCAAGTAGTTTTCCCATTTGTGCGCAGCTAGTTGAGAATAGTGAATAGTGCTAAAACATAAGCAGGTTCATTGGTCAGAAAACCATCTACCGCCGTTTTGACCAAAGGAACCTGCCGCTCTTGTTTGTCTAATGTGATCACGCCGAAGCTTTTTAAACAATTGGATCCCTCCCGACTTCTTTCGCTGCTTCTTGGTTCCACTCGTCAGTACTGCAAAATGTGAAGAAACCTGCAGGTTCTCTTCTTCGTTCTCCCAACCAAATGCCTCTCAACATTTGCACAAAGTCACACAATCTCCATGTCGTTGTAATTGAAAGGCCAAAGTCCTAGCTCTCTCTCGTATTTTGGCAGCCATTATTGCTGACGTTTCGATCTGGGTTCGGCTGGACCTTCACGTGGCATCTGGCATAATTAGTGTCAGTAATGCTGACTGAGTTTACATTTTTGTACAGTACCCTTTTATAATCCGGAGGGCCGTTGAACCGAACAGAAAACTATCTAATAAACTGCCCACTTTTCATCAAGAGGGTAGGGGTTTTGAAAATGCCCCTGCCTGATCATAAGGTGCAATTGTCCCGTTTCCGTATAGGATAGCATATGTTCTGCTGATCGTTCGAATTTCCAACTTGGAAGCGAAATAGCTACGGAAGATTGCGTGAAAACCCTATCTCAAAGCGTTATCCTCGTATGCTTGTAAAATGTTGTCGTGGGTGGTCATCATCATCACGGAATTGACTGGACCAGTTACAGCAATCCAGTACCGTACACGTAAAAAATGGCGTGGTATTTGTCACACCTTCTCGTTTAATATCTACCCAAACAGTGATTCGAAAGCACCACGATAGTACCGTTTCAAAGTGTGATGATGACCGGGAACGCCAAACCACGACAATATCACATTTCAGGCAGCCGTGGTCGACGCCGGACCGCTATTATTACAGGAGAATACAACTTAACTGATTCAGTAAATATTTTACATGTATTCATATTGACTTAAATGGTTTGTAATGCATGTATCTGTATGCATTCCAGGATTATAGCTGTAAGGGTTTTCACAAACGCAATAGCAATGCGTTAGGACTTATCTTCAACAAAAGCGACTGCATCCCTTTGAGAATGCTTAAGCTATTAATATCATCCACTGGAAAAGAATGTATCGTACATGTTTTGTATTATTGATAATCTCGCCAGTATAATGGAAGCATAGAAAATATGTCTAGATTACATCCTATCGCGACGTTGGAGCCTGATCAAGTAGAGTTGACCACATACTACCGGTAAGTACTAGTATAATGCCGTGACCAATACGTGTAATCACTAATATTTTGAACCAATGACAGCCACAACTCCTTGTCTGTGCGTGTCCCATTCTCAAAAAGGTTATCCCAGCGTGTGGTTGTAACTAGCACTGTCGGATAGACGTAACCAAACCGATGGTTGCTCCTGTTCCTGTTCATTATAAACCTCACTTCTGTTTTTCTTCCTTAACATCCAAGTGACAGCCGCAATCATGCTCCGTGTTGCACTATCATTCCTCGCGCTCGTCGGACTCGCATCGGGAGCTCTCCCTTCAGCCGACACCACCTGCAGCGGACAGAATGCTCGCACCGTGCCTCCACCAGGGGCCATCGTCGTCGATATCACCGGCACCTACAATGGCAGCTACCAGACCATGGCCGAGGGCATGGCGTACCTACCTAACACGACAGAGGAGCACACCATCTTTGTCTTTCCCGGTGTCTACCAGGAGCAAGTGCTGATTCCGAAGTTAGCTGGTCCGTTGGTGCTTCAGGGCTACACGTGCGACACCACGTCATACGCTGACAACAAGGTGACAATCACCCACACGATGGCACAGAGAGACCTTCCGCTCGAAATCAAGAATGGACGCAATGATTTGGTCAGCACAGTACGCCTCAAATCGGGCAGTGGCGTGAAGATGTACAACCTCAACGTTGCCAACCCAACGGGTAAGATCGAGAAGCTCGGCCAGGCGGTGGCTGTCTACGTCGACAATACCAACTACGGGTTCTACGGCTGCAACTTCACGGGTTACCAAGACACTTTGTGTGCTCACAAGGGTCGTGAACTCTACGCCCGGTCATACATTAGCGGTGCTGTGGACTTTGTTTTTGGCATGCAAGCTAAGGCGTGGTTCGAGTCTTGCGACTTTGAGACCGTCGGGAAAGGCTGGATCACTGCGAATGGCAACACTAACAGCTCTAACCTCTCCGAGTACGTCTTCAACAATGCTCGCGTGTTCAACTCCAATGCCTCCATGAACGGAACGACCTACCTCGGGCGCCCGTGGTATCCCTATGCTCGCGTTGTCTGGCAGAACAGTGAGCTGGGTGATGTTGTCAACCCGCAAGGATGGGCGACTTGGAACAAGAACGACAACAACACGGCTAACGTCTACTTCAAGGAGTTCAACAACAGTGGACCGGGTGCGGCCATCGATCAGCGGGTGCCTTTCAGCGGCCAACTCAACGCGTCTGTGAAGATCACAGACCTCTTGGGTGCGGATTTCGAGTCCGAGTGGTGGGTTGACATCAACTTTTTGTAAACTGTTATGAAAGCCTACTAGCTCAACCATGCGGTGGTGGAACAAGTCAATAACAGTAAACAGCAAAATCTGAGTTAAATAGTTCAGTAGGCACCATTACCACCGTAAATGCCACACACGGCAGTGACAACTACTACGTATTGTGGCTATTTCCGTAGCTACAGTTGCGCGGGCGTGGCGAGTCGAAAATAATGGTGATAGCTGACAGGAGGGTCTTGTGGGGCCGCCCCTGACGCAAATATGCGGTCATTGCGCGAAAAGAAACTATGTACGGAATGCCTACGTTTCAAGCTTTTGATTGGATCAATCCAGACGTAAATCGGGTTAGTATTGGTTAATCTACTGTGTGTTTTGTCCAAATGTCCCTAATAGTTTTGAATGGGAGAAATACTTCAGGCGCCACAAAAAGACAGTCAGCACAAATTTAAGCATAAGATTTTGAACGCTATCCCTACACTGCTGACCAGCGTGTTAGATCCAATCGGATGAGATACGCTTGGTACAGGTGGAATGGCAGTCAGCAACCGCCAAACGCTTTCATATCCCTTAACTTGGGCTTCTCATTCCGTCTTAAAGCAGGGTCACCATCCTGCCCAATTAATAAAATCGGCGGAGACGAGGCAACCCATAATTAACACGGAATTAGCTGACCATAGGGCTTAATTAAGGGTGAGAAGGGAATAGAATTAAGCCAGAATAATCGCGGCAGAATTGCTGAAAGGCTCAATACATAATAGTACCTTTTATCAGCATAGACACGTTTTCGACCTAAACCGGTTGCAAGGGACGCTTGCAAGGTAGTCACCCTATTTTAGCTTTTGTAGATTTTGCAGGAAAATAATTCATTGGTTGGTGAAAAAAATACAAAACATTCAAGGCCATTACTAACCCATAAAAATACAAACCACAGCAAATACGTCAATTGTAATGCATTATCCGCAAGTACTGTATTCATTTTGGATGGTAAACTGTAATCGAAAACATGCACAGTTTTGCATCGTCGTCCACTTACAAGTATTCGGTGTCAACCCACCACTCCGATCCGTAGTTCTCGCCGAGGATGTCCGAGATGACCACAGCTTCATTCAACTGACCACTGAAGGGGACACGCTGGTCGATAGCCGCGCCAGGACCGCTGTTGTTGAACTCCTTGTAGAAGATGTTGGCAGTGTTGGTGTCATTGTTCCAACGTTTCCAGCCTTCCGGGTTCACAACGTCACTCAGCTCGCTATTCTGGAAGACAACACGCGAGTAGGGACGCCACGGGCGACCGAGGTACGCTTTGCCAACCAAAGAGGCGTTGGCCGTGAACACGTTTGCGTGGTTAAAGACGTACCAAGACGGGTTAGACTCGCTCTCGCGTCCATTCGCCGTGACGTAACCTTTTCCGACAACCTCGATGTCGCATTTCTCGAACCACGCTTGAGCGTTCATACCGAAGATGAAGTCGGTAGCACCCCGAATCAATGTGCGGGCATACAACTCGCGACCATTGTGAGCACACAAAGTGTCCTGGTAGCTGGAGAAGTTGCAGGCGTAGAAGCCGTAGTCGGTTCCATTGGCATATACGGCCACCGCCTGACCGACCTTGCCACCAATTTTACCGGCCGTGTTGGCCACGTTGAGGTTGTACATTTTGATGTTGCTCGCCGCGAGACCCAAAGTGCTGGTCGGCCAGTTGCGGTCTCCAGTCACATTGAGCGGAATGTCTCTTTGTGCCTTCGCCTGGGTAATCGTGACCTGGTTGTCGTCATACGACTCCGAGTTACAGGTGTAACCTTGTAGCACTAGTGGACCCGCGAGCGGTGTGATGAACACCTGCTCGTGGTAAATGCCCGGGTAGAGGAAAATGGTCTGTTCTTCCTTCGTGTCGGACAAGCTGTCCACGCCCTCCGCTAGGGTGCGGAAGCTTCCCTTATGCGCGCCCATTGCATCAACGACGATGGCTCCTGGTGGGGGAGTGGTGCGGGAGTTGAGGCCAGTGCATGTGGCACCGGTGGCGATTGCTTAGCTAGTCGCAAGGTTACCGAGCACGAAGAGAAGTGACGTGAAAGGGTGCATTGTCCGAAGAGTTGGCTTGAAAGGAAATTGCAGAATGAGGAAACGTGGTTGTTGCGTATGTCGGTGGATGACAAGCACTTCGACTCACAGCCTAGTGAACGCCTCGGCTCATTTATCATACCTATCGATTATCACACCGCGAGTGAACATTATCTACCACGCTGATTACGACTCCATCCATGAAGATTGGTACGATAGAACGAGATCGGAATCTTTAGATATGCTAAGATGTCGATCTAGAGCCCGTAACTTAGACAATGGACTTCGACGGTATGTGACAAACGTAACCTTATCATACAAGTTTCGGCAGTGGTGTGATGAATAAATGATTCGGGGAAACGCAGAAAGAAAAAGAAGATAAGCACTGGTAGTATTAAACCGGTATCTCTTGCTCTAGTGTCAAAAGCTGCTCCTGTGTGGGCCTTGGAGTGGCTTTTATGAGCGAAAGACTGCCCATCCCAACTAACGACTAGCGATGTAAACACTGCGGTGCATCAGCCAGAGTGATTACCGAGTCGCACAAATACAGTTAACAGCCGTCCTTGGCCTTTTCTTTACATGTAAGCTATGATTTTGATCTATACGGGCCAAAAGATCATGTTTGTCACGTATATACTTCGAAGTATTGGTCAAAATGCAAACAGCAACAAGCACAGCTTTTTTTTTCATCCTCGTGTAATTGTAGCATTTACTGTCGCGGAAAACTCTGCATGACTGTTCAAAAGAAATCGCCATGGTTGTCGACAGATACATCTAATTAATTGCCGCTCCACGTCTGCCGCATTCAGGGCGTACGGAAATAATTTCATTTTATAAAAATAAGTGAACTTACAAAAGACAAGAAACAGGCATGTTACTTTTCTGACGTAATGGAGCGGTTGTGTGTTCGGGTAGAGCAGTTCCTAGTGCATTTGTAACCTGACAGCATTGACGATAGTCTGTCCCGGATAGACGAACATGATTCATCGGCAGGATTGTCAAAGCGAAATCATTGTGGTAGCAGAGGATGTCGTGCTGTATTCTGAGTCTAAAAAGAGAAGAGTTTTATCATCAGACGGAAATTTGTATTGCGTGTTCTGTTTTTCACCGTCGTGTGTAGTTGTAACATAGTGTTGTCCAAACTAAATCATCATACTGTAGTTGCCGAGAACCACAAAATACCTGGAAAATATTACCCAGAACTGTTTGCGTCTACATGTATTTGCCCTATACATGCACTTGGTAAACGCAAACCTTTGGTCCATATAGCTACTTTACCCTTTCCAGTAGGTGATTCTAGAAATTGAAATTCAGTCCAAGGACGCCTATCCATCGGTAAACTTGTATGGCTGATACAACCCGTAATTTGCGGCATACAAGTATGAACGAATTGGACCATTGTGTGCTAGCCCAGTACTTACCCGGATGCATGCATTTGCTGCAACCACGGAATCCGTGCAACCAGCGTCATTGCTCTTAGGGTCGCTCTTAGCCAAAATAAAATGGTAGATGTAGCCAAGTGGCCGTACTAAATCGCTTGAAAGTAAGTGGTGGTGGACCCATATACGGCCACTAAAGTGGAATCAGATCCACGTCCTCCGGGTATTATTGGGTTTGGTGGACGTGGACAGGAGAGCATATTCGCCTCCTACGGGAAAGTCACTAATAAAAGATAAATATACCACCCACACTCGTAGCGATAGTATTTTACCAGATTACCAAGGTATCTGCTTTAAACAATGATGTGCTAGTTGGTGAGAGCATTTGTAATACTCACCATTGCATGCCGCACAACCTGCAGGGTAAATTCACCGCCAGCAAAGTGTCAACCGTCACACCTCATGTTTGGCCGTCCACAAATTAAGCTAAGGCCTAGCAAAAACATGCAAGAAACGGTGCGGTCCCTTGAGCCTCGATCGAATATAATAATAATAATAACGGCTCTTAGCATCAAATCAATAACCGTTCCGCTCTGAACTTTATTTTACACAAACATTTTCATGCGATAGCATGTTTGTAGCTAAGATTAATTAATCAAAACACTGTTGATAATCCTCAGCATACTTTATACGCATGCAAATCTTACGGGTTCATTATAGACGGAGTTCGATCATCGGTTGCAGGAAATGCGTGTAATCCGGTACTATCCAAACATTTCATTACTGCATCAGACACTTGAAAAACGAGTACCGATAGTGATTCGCTCCACTAACGAAATGTGGTAAACACCGTAATCCTAATGGTTAGAGCCAGACCTACCGTTACCGTACAGACATATTGATCATGCACATACATAGGACATATCAGGACAGGCTACACACCATATTACCACATCACCCCGAGGTACGCAATCACCAGCAGAAAAGCTTCTGTAGTCTTAGTGTCTGTCTCACAACAAATAACACGAAAATGGCGCTCTAAGCGAAGCGTTTATATACGTTGCGAGAGGTTCTAGAAAGCAATTGAAGATCACTTCGCAATTTTCTTCTCTCAGCCCGAGCCAACTCAACGAAAAATGCGCACCTTCATGCTATCCCTGGCAGTATTTGCAAGCCTGGGAACATCCGCGCTGGCGGCAACCGACGACATATCTACCCCATCGAAGGGTGGGGTGGAAGTTCAAAAGAAGGGTGTTTCCATTGGGTTTTCAGGCCTCTGCAGTGGTCCTAACGCGAAGACTGAACCTCCAGCTGGGGCTGTCGTCGTCGATGCTTCGGGTACCTACGACGGGAGCTACAAGACCGTTGCGGAGGGTGTTGCCAACCTACGAAACTCGACCGAAGAGCAAACGCTCTTCGTTTTCCCGGGCGTCTACAACGAGCAAGTGTCAATCCCGAAATTATCGGGCCCGCTGGTCCTCCAGGGCTACACTTGTGACACAACTTCGTACTCTGCAAACGAAGTGACTCTCACCCAGTCCAAGGCCCAGAAGGACATTCCACCCGAGATCGAAAACAACCGCAACTATCTCACCAGCACGTTGGGTATCCAGACAAGCAAAGTGAAGGTGTACAACCTCAACGTGGCCAATACGGCCGGCAAAATTGAGGAAGACGGCCAGGCAGTGGCAGTTTACGCCGATGGAGTCGACCATGGCTTTTATGCCTGCAACTTCACTGGGTACCAGGACACTGTGTGCGCCCACAAGGGTCGAGAGCTGTATGCCAAGTCGTACATCAGTGGTGCTGTCGACTTTGTGTTCGGTCAAGTGGCCATGGCGTGGTTCGAGTCGTGCGACATTGAGTCTATCGGTGAAGGTTGGATCACTGCCAACGGCAACGAAGAATCTACTGTCGCTTCAGAGTATGTTTTCAACAATGCTCGCGTGTTCGGCGATGGCTCGACCTACTTGGGCCGTCCTTGGCGCCCCTTTGCCCGGGTTGTGTGGCAGAACAGTGAGCTGGGCGATATCGTGAACCCGGAAGGATGGGAGGCATGGGACGAAACTTCCAGCACCGATGATGTCTACTTCAAAGAGTATAACAACAGCGGCCCTGGTGCAGCTACCGATAAGCGTGCTGCCTTCAGCGGACAGCTGGACGCGCCTGTGGCAATCACGGACATCCTTGGTGATAAGTACGCGTCCGAATGGTGGGTTGACACCGACTTCTTGTAAGAGGTAACGAGGGAAGCTAGTTTATTGTGGTCAACAATCGGCTAGCAACGGTAACGGACACCGCAAAGCAGACAAGTGCTTCATTACATGACACCTATGACGATACAGAAGCGGTTTTTCGAAAGAAGAAAAACTAAAATGAGAAATATTGACTTTGGTACTTTACAGGAGTCTTGCTGCAAGATGTATATCGCCCTCTTGATTAAATACAGCCACGGCTCAGGCGTCGTCTGTGTTATCGTTCTATACATCGAAATGTCCCCTTAAAGTAGTGGCGATGCTTTGGTCTGGGAGGACTGCGACCCTTTTCATTTTTATTTGATGTTGCTGAGGTCAACTAAGATGAAGCGCGTGTAGCCAAAGCAAACCGCGCGGGATGCCCTCGAAGCTGGATCGTGCAGAATTTGCGAAGGCAGTTGAGAGAATCATTTTTTAGGAGATTTTTTTGGATATTTCGAACACCTTTAGGACTCACGTCGAAAAATTTGTGCAGGGTTTGGTTACTATAGTAATATTGTGTTCATTGCATGCATGGGAGCTGGCTAACGAGGCTTTGAAAAGCTTGCCTCTTACAGCTATTACCAACATGTGCTAAAGGCTTGGCTTCATTAATATCGTTTTTTATAGTTCTATATTGCTTTTGTATAAAAAGAAGCTGTGACGGGGTCACACAGCACCTTGGGCTGAGGAAGTAAGCTGCCAAGAGTAAACAAACTCTAAGTGAACGAC